AATGCCCCCCCCACTGCCTGGATCCTGGGCCCCCTGCCCCATAACCCCCCCCTTCCCCCTGCTCCCTCCACCCCCATAACACCTCCCCTGCTCCCCCGCCTCATAACCCCCCCCAGGGTCCCCAGTGCCTGGGTCCCTGCTCTCCGGTGTCCCCACTGCTGCTCCCTGGGGCCCCCGTAATCTCTCTGATCCACAGTGCCCCCCCACGGCATGGGCCACCTGCCCTATAATGCCCCTGATTCACAGTGTGTTCCCCCCCCCCCCCATGACGCCCCACTGCTGCAGGTGGCACCTGGTCCCATAGCGCCCCCTGCTCACGTATCACCTGGGCGGGCTCCTCGGCGCGAACTGCCCCGGTCAGAGCGCGCCGCAAACCCTGTGCCAGCCGTGGCCGGCTCGGCGTCCGGGACCCTCCCGCTCTCACTGCCTCTGGCTCCACCGGGGGCTGGCACATCGGGGGGCTGGTTCCGCATTGCCTGGGGGGTGCATGCTGCGGGGGGCCCGAGCCTGCCTGGCTAAACGGAGCCGCCCGGTGGGATGCTGCCTCGCGCGTGTGACTGCGGGGTGCCGCGCGTGTGCGAGGCTGCTCAAAACCATCCGCAGAGATAGTGCCCCCTGCCTTGGGGTCAGGTGAGCAGCGAGAGGTCGTGGAGAAGGCCCCAGACGCTGGATCTGGGAAAGGCTGGTGGTCCCTGCGACCTCCAATACCAGCCCGAATGTCCAGATTTCACCGGTGCGATGCGGCAGTTTTCATTGCCAGAGCCAGGCCTCGGGAAGCAGATCCCAGCGCTGGCAGCCCGCCTGCGAGACCTTCTCCACGCCCGCCTGGGGTGACCCAGGTGCCAGGTTTATCCAACTGTTTGCTGAGTTGCGTCAGTTTCATGTCGGTTTCTAGTCAGTGTCACTGCAGGAGCTGTTGTTGCAGTGTTGTGTGGACTGGCCCGGGAGGGTCTCTGCAAACGCAAAGTTTGTTTAAAATTGCCTCCTTTGGAATTACTTATAAAAGTGGCTTTTTAGGAACCCCCCTCAATATTTTTGGGGCCAAATATCACCTTGACAGTTTCCCTTTGTAAACAGCGGCTGTTTCCAGCCCAGAGGGGGCTGCATTTCACTGGTGGGTGATGTGCGTCCACGGCGGCTGAGAACCGTTCTGGCGGCCTTTGCTAGGAAGGGGAGGCTCAGGGAGGAGGGTTTGAGGAATTGGATTTGAAATTCGAAATCCCTCCGGGGAAGAGGGAGCTGAGAGCGCCGGCCAGCAGATGTCACTAGATCTCTTCGGGACAAGCTTAGGAGCGACCGGAACGGGACCTGGCGCTGTTCATCGCTGGGTCAAAGAGTTGGATTCAGCCCTGGTTGGAAGTGACCTAAAGCTCCGATTTGGTGGTCTCCGGTTAAATTAGTTGTATGTGGAGACTGAACGCCTGGGCGAGCTGTCTCTCCGTGCAGGGATGGTAGCAAACAAACCTTGATGGTGCTGTGAAGGGCGCTTTAGCCTTGAGAGACCTCACCCTGTTCTTGTGACATTAACGTCCTCAGGTGAAGTGGATTCTTGGCTGAAATCTTTGCAGCCTGGTTAATTTTTGCAGTTACCTATAAAACCTTAACCCGGCAGGTGAAAATGGCAAAGAATAAAGGAAAGGCGTTCGGTATTTGAGAGCCACGCGGGAGTCTCAGGAGCGCTAACCTCAAGCGTTTAAAAAATCAGGAGGCGAGCCCCAAAGAGCGGGAGATTGGCTTAAGGATCAGGGCATTTCAAATCATGAGTTTGGAGTTCCTCTGATTAACCTGCTGGGTGGTTTTGAGCCTCTAGTCTAGAGTATGCTGAGGCCAGAGTTTTTCCTCTGCAGCCATGAGGGCTAGAACTGTGAGTGGTGGTGGTGGAGGGGGCTCTGATGGCCGATGGTGGGGGTGCAAGGCTGGTGACGGGGCGAAGATGCAGCGTGTGCGGCCGTCCGCTCCCCCTGCTGGTCTGTCAGCGCAGCCCCCGCTGTGTGCCGGCTCTCGGCTAGCAGGGCCCCCCTGGCTGCGCGCTGCGGTGGCTGGTGAGTGTGGGCAGGCACTAGGCAGTAGCCGGTTACGTGTTCCCTCTGCTGCCCACCCATGGGCCCTTTACGTGCTCCCCCTCTTGCTGTCCTCTCCCGGCTTCGCCCCCCAGCCCTGCTGCTCCTCCGTATCCCCCCCCAGCAGGCGCATCCTGCTACCAGCGCCATGCGGAGAACCAGCCCCTGGTCGGAGCGCTTAGCTCACCAGCAGCCCGGCCGGCAGGCGCCTTCCTTCCCCCACCTCCTCTGGCTGGGCCGGCGCCCTGGGAAAGCCCAAGACCCTCTGGCCCGGGGCGCTGGCCAGGAAGAGCCAAACCCTGCGTGTGTCAAAGCCCCACCCAGCGCTGGCACGGGGCAGCCTCTCCACGGGGCAGCTCAACGTTGGGGTGGGGGGAAGCGATTTCCAGCCTGTTCCTATCCCAACCCCACAGGCACACAGCAGCTCCCCTGGGCAGGGGCTTAGTCCCCCTCTCGCCCTGGGTCCTGCCCCTGGGGAGTGTGGGGCTGCTGCTGGCCACACTCTGGTGTGAACCCTGGCAGAAATCTGGGGAGAGGGACGTGAGACCCTAAGTTCCCCCCCTCACCCCCCATGTGTTGCCTCAGGAAGACGTAGTGCCAGGTACCAGGAGAGGCAGGTCCGTCCCGGGGGCCCAGCCAGAGGTGGAGGACGGAGAGCGTCGGGCAGGGAGGGTCCGGTCGGTTGGTGAGAGAGATGTACGGGAATGTGTGTGTGCGGCTGCGCACGTAACCTCTCCCTGTGTGTGTGTGGGGGGAAATGTTGTGGGAAAATTGGAAAG